TCTGGTCCAGTCTGGCCTTCAGAAGTTGTGAGTGCTCTAACACTGGAGGTTTTTTTAAGAAGAGACTAGACAACCGTTTCTCTGAAAAAGTCTCAGTTTGCCTTCTTGAGCTGGGGGGTGGACTATAAGACCTCTGAGGGACCCTTCCCACACTTGTTCTTCTTCTCTTCTCCTGTAAGCCAGAGGAGAGGAATCAAAGCCCCCCGGCCCCTCGGTGGACCTATCACCCGCTTTGTTTTGGCAGGAGCTCACTCACCTGGCTTGCTGTCCGAGCGTGCCCCGCCGTACCCCGCCTGCCCCCCGTAGCAGGGGACGCAGTTCCTCCAGAGGTACCGGTAGTGCAGCGCGGAAGCCGGGGGTCCCCCAATCCAGACCACCGCCAGGCACCAGAACACCAACGCGCAAAGCCGCCGCTCCGTTCCTCCTCGCATCTTGCAAAAACAAAGCATGTGTTATCCTTGCAGCTTCGCAAAAAAACTCTTCAAAGAGCGAGCGAAGTGCATTCTCTCCCCTTCACTGCATGCCTCCTCACTCCCCCCCCCTCAAAAAACCCACCCACCCATGTCAAATTTCCTAGGTTTGCAAATTTTGGACGTAACTCGGGCTCCTTTGGCAGGTAAAATAAAAATTTTTTAAAAAATTAACTCTTCTCTCTCTCCCACACACACACGAGCCTCCCCTCCTCATCCTCTCCCCACCTCGCACATATTTTCGGTTGCGTGCACTGCACACACACACACACACACACATACACACACACATAAAACACAGGACAACCCCATCCGTGCGCCAAGCGCAGGAATTTTTGTTGGCTGATGGGACTCGATGGAGGGTTTTTTTTTTACGCATTCCTGGCCAGTGTCCAACCTGGATTCTTGCAACTTGGCCATGTCAACAATTAAAGGGGGATGGAAACAGGGGTGTGGGGGGGGGGGGGAGGGGGGGGGGTGAGTAGAGCGTGGGAGTGGGGGAGAGGAGGGGGATTAAATTAAATCCACATTTTGGAAAGTCCAACCACAGCGAACGGCGGAGAGAAAACATCCCCAAATATTATAAATCCAGGAGATGGTCGGTGTTGTTAATTTTACCAAGCCATAGGATCTCCTGGTTTCTGGGGAGAAAGACAGGCAGTCCTGAACTGTATTTATGGTATTTCTCTATCAGTGCTATTTATTTATAAACATCTATGTCTATGTTATCTATGTATTTACCTGTTTATATTGCATTTGACTATAACTGTTATCTATTTATTGTATTTATTTTTCTATCTATTGTATTTATCTCTACCTATTTCCTATCTACCTTATCTATCTTCCATTCTATGTCTATTATCTATCTATCTCCATCCTTTTCAATTTCTCTATCCATCCATTTCTACCTCTACCTATCTACTTCTGTCCATCCATCCATCCACCCACCCACCCACCCACCCATCATCTATCTATATCTAATCTCTATTGTGTTTATTGCTTTGTCTTTGTCTATCATTTATCTATATCCATCCATCAATCCATCCACTTCAATCTCTTTATAGCCATCTATTTCTATCTCTACCTCCCATCTGTCTATTTATCCATCTCTATTGTGTTTACATCTATCTATCTATCTATCTATCTATCTATCTATCTATCTATCTATCTATCTATCTCTATTGTGTTTACTACCTATCTACCTACCTACCTCTATTGTGTTTACCAGTGTCTGTCTGTCTGTCTATCATCTATCTAAATCTATCTAATCTCTCTCTATTGTGTTGATCGCTTTCTGTCTTTGTCTACCCATTTATATCCATCCATCCATTTCAATCTCTATCCATCTGTCTGTTTCTATCTCTACCCCCCTTCTCTGTCTGTCTATCATCTATCTATCTATCATCTATCTATCTATCTATCTATCTATCTATCATCATCTACCGATCTCTCTCTCTCTCTCATCTATCTAGAGCATCTACCATCTATCAATCTACCGATTATCTATCTATCATCTATCTATCATCTATCTATCTATCTATCTATCTATCTATCTATCTATCTATCTATCATCTCTATCATCTACATCTATCATCTACCCCACTCCTCTCTCCAACATCTCTCATGCTTCCATCAAAAATCAGTCGAAGGCTAATTTGAACCTACACCAACCATCATAGCTGGTTACGTTCAACATTTTGCAACAAAGCCCCCTGCGACTCCATCCATGTTCAAAAACCAGAGGGGAAAGTCCCTTTTGGGGGGGGGGGGGGGGGGGAAGAGTAGGAGAGAACTAGAAATTAAGTGACGGCCGGTCCAACAGGGGCACCCCTCCTCCCATTTCTGAGCTCCAGGAGGCTGCGGTAGATGGACCGTTCTAGAGTCAACTCAACACCCTCTTAGCTGGACCTCTCCCCAAGGACGTGGTTGGGTTCTCCACCCCCCCCCGTGGCTGAGGTGGACCAGGCTCAAACTAATCTGGTTTCTTTCCCTGGAAAACAAACTTTTGGAGGAACCGGTAGATCCCGGGGTCTTCTGGACACAGATGTGTGTCTCTTGGCTGAGCGACAAATTCCCCCACCCCCATCGCTGTTTTTCATCGCTCAGAAAAAAGGAATTCGGAGGTCTTTCTTGCTCTCCATCCAGATTTCTCCCCCCCCCCCCCCCCCCCTTCCAATGCATGATGGATTATCAGCAAATATTAAATCTGCAGAGAGCAAATGAAAGCCAATAAATTCATAGAGTGAGGTTCCAACTGTTTTTACTTCGGCTCCCCCCCACCCCACCCAAAAAATAAAGGCTTGGAATTCGCTAACTCCTCAAAAGATCTCCTTCTTTCCCATAAATACTTCCATGCTCTTTAAAAAAAAATCAAGTCTCAGGCCAAACCAACTTTTGGAAACTCAACTCAACTCGTTGTGTGAATAAATAAGCAATCTAGGCTTACTTTATTATGATGATTATCATCATCTCTTTTATTCATTAAACATGAAACACAGTCAACTGAACGTTTAAAAGTTTATCACAAATATCATGATGATATTATTATTATGATTAGGAGGGGCGGAGGAAGGAAGGAAAGGAAGGAAGGAAAGATTAGGGAAGAAAAAAGGAAAAGGAAGAAGAGACGGAGGGACAGAGGGAGGGAGGAAAGATTAGAGAACAAAGGAAAGAAGGAAAGGAAAGATTAGGGAAGAAAGAAAAAAAAGGAAGAAGGGAGGGAGGAAGGGAGGAGATTAGAGAACAAAGAAGAAAAGAAGGAAAGAAAGAAGGAAAGATTAGGGAAAAAAGAAGAAAAAGGAAGGAGGAAGGGAGGGAGGAAGGGAGGAAAGATTACAGAACAAAGAAGGAAAGAAGGGAATTACGTCGTTTATTTTTCTCCTGGCGGAGAAAAATCATAAAGCTGAGTTTTATGAACAGGTTTTTCCCTCACAAGCTGCAGGGTTTCAAAACCAGACGGTCGTGTTTCACTTAGCAACCGAATTGTTGGTCTCCATGAAGGTCGTTAAGTCGAGGATTTACCCGTATAGGTTTATTTGCATTTTTAGAGTGTTTTTCTTTCAATATTGTTTGAAAAAGGAAAGGAAATTTCCTTTCCAGTCTTTGGCTCCGTGCACACACACACACATCTTTGGCCTGGCGCACACACCAACACACACACAACCTCAGTTTCCCAAAAGGGGGGAAAAAAGAAAACCCCACTTCTGGCTTAGAAAAAGGGAGCCCCATTTGCTTCACACTTTTTTGGGGGGTGTTTCAAGTGGCCCCAGGATTTGGGGGTGCCCCAGTAGCAGGTAGAGGGGGGCTGTTTTCCCTTACCTGAGGGACTGGTCTTTGCCAGGGTCCAAAGGAGAAACATTGCCGCTTATGTCCAGCTCCCGACCATAGAGTCCACCGGCCGCAAGGGCCCACCCTGGAGCATCTGTCTGGCCTCGCCCACCCACCCAGGTAAGCTGTAACAAGCCAGTTTCTCTTACAGGTGATTTTTGTGTTGGCAAATTGCACTCTATGGCTAGCTCTTTATGGGCAGGAGGGGTGAAATGTGCCCCCAGGAGGTGGGATTCCCTCTTTGTCCAAAGCCACAAAGTCCTTCCTTCCTTCTTTCTTTCTTTCCTTTCTCTTTCTTTCCTTTCTCTCCCTCCTTCCTTCCCTTCCATCCATCCATCCTTTCCTTTTTTCTTTCTTCCTTCTTTCCAAAATATCCTTCTATCTATCCACCCTTCACCTTCCTTTTTTTCATTTTCCATCTACAATATCTATCCATCATTTTTCTTTCCCTTCCTTCTTTTCGTCTACTACTATATCCTTCATCCATCTCTTCCTTCTTTTTCATTTTTCCTCCCTTCTCTTTTCCTCCCTCCCTTTTTTCCATCTAGTATTTCCTTCCTTCCTTCCCTTTCTTTCTTTGGTTGCCCCTTATTTGTCACCCATCCTTCACTGTTCATCGTTTCCCTCCCACACGTTTATTTGCACACTTTGCACAAATGCAACCTGCACCCTTCCTTGAATGCACGTTGCACTCTTCCATGAATGCAACTTGTAACAGAATTGCAAGGGACCTTGTAGATCATCTAGTCCACCCCCTGCCCAAGGTGGAGACCCTACACGATTCCTGACAGATGGCAGTCCAGTCTCTTCTTGAAAGCCTCCAGGGATCAAGCTCCCACATTTCTCCTTATTTCCAGATTGAATCTCTCCTTGATCAGTTTTAATTTTCACCCTTTCCATGAATGCAACTTGCACCCTTGTATAAATGCAACATGCAGCCTTTCCATGAAGGCAACTTATACATACAACATGTGCGCCTTCGCACGTGCTGCTCTCCCCGCCAAAAGCGGTCCAGGGGAAAATAGCGGAAGGCGAGGCGCCTGCGCTCTGAACCCGCCAGTGCGTCGCCCTCCGCATAGGCGGTCGCCTCTAGACGCTCGCGTGAGTCTATGAGGGACACTCCTCCGCGGGAACCGGCTCCGCCCCCGCGGGCGTCGGTTACGGCTCGGCGCCTGCGCAGAAAGGCGCCGCCCGGGCCGGGACAAGGGGCAGAAGCAGTGAGAGTGAGAGAGAGGGAGGCCGCGGCCGGCCGCCGGCGATGCTGCAGCTGCGGGACTCGGAGGAGGGTGCCGGGCCGGCTCTGCTGGTGCCGGCGGCCGAGGCCGACGTGCCCTTCACGCCGCCGGGAGACCTGGAGGCCTCGCTGGCGGCGGCCCGGCAGACGCTGCGCCCGCTCCTCGTCCACAACCCCACCCGGGGGGGCCGCCTGAAGGAGTACTTCGTCTTCCGGGTGGGTGCGAGGCGCGCATGCGCGGAGGGGGTTGAAAGGAGTGGGAGGAGGTCACGCACCCCCCCCGGGGAGACTGCCTCGGCCTCTGGAGGCTCTACGGGGGGGGCGGAGGGATAGAGCGGGAAATTTAAATATCTCCCTGCATAAAGTGCATGTAAAGCCTATGTAATCATATCTATGTATATTATGCATATTTAATATATGTTAATAATTGCATATATCTAGTATATACGCACCTATTTCACAAAATCTATGTAATATATATTAATATATATTTATATTTTATATTTTATATTTATATTTATATATATATATATATATATATATATATACACACATACTGTCTTATAGTCTCTAAATTGTATTTATATGCGTATCTATCTCACAAAGGTTAGTTAATCTATATTTAATATATTTTAATATTGCACATTTTTCTAATATATTAATGTAAACTATATATAACTATAATATAATTATATAATATCTATAATATATATACTCTTGACTCTCATATCTGTCTATATGTCTGTCTGTCTATATGGAATTGTATTTATATGGACACCTGTCTCGCAAAACAGAATTCCTGGAGATCTAAACCCAAGGGCATAGAATGTATATTTGTGGGTGCGTGTATGTTTGAATATGTTTGTATGTATGTAAGTACCATAGAAATATGGTGTCATAGCAATAGCATTTATATACTGCTCCATAGTGCTTTACAGTATCATCTGAATGGTAAAAGAAATGTATATACGGTGTGTCTGCATCTCTTATGAAGGTTACACAGAGAGAGAGAGAGGGAGGGAGGGAGGGAGGAAGGAAGGAAGGAAAAGGAGAGAAAGAGAAAGTGAGGAAGGAAGGAAAGGATGGAAAGAGAGGAAGGAAGGAAAGGAAGAGAGAGAGAAAAGGAAGGAAGGAGAAAGAAAGGAAAGGAAAGAGACATAAAAGGAAAGAAAGACAGAAAAAAAGGAAAAAAGGAGACGAAAAGAAGGAAAGAAAGACAGGAAGGAAGGAAAGACAAAAAGAAGGAAAGAAAAGGAAGGAAAGAGAAGGAAAGTAACAAAAGAAAAAGAAAGGGAAGGAAAGGAAAGGAAAGACAGAAAAAGAAGGAAAGATAAAAAGAGACAGAAAGAAAAGGAAGGAAGGAAAAAGAAAGACAGAAAGAAAAGGGAGGAAAGTAACAAAAAAAAAGGAAGGAAGGAAGGAAAGACAGAAAAAGGAAAGAAGGAAAGAGAAAAAGAGACAGAAAGAAAGAAAAACACAGTAAAGGAAGGAAGGGAAACTCACTCCCCGGCTGGGGAATTCTGGGAGTTGAAGTCCACCTGCCTTAAGTCTTTGTGAAGCGAGCGGTTAAAGATGGCTAACCCTCCTCTCTCCCCACTCAGCCGGGCACCATTGAACAGGCGGTCAATGAGATCCGGGTGGTTGTGATGCCCGTGGAGGACGGGGAGGTTCAGAGCGTCTGGCTGCTGACCGAGTAAGTCACAGGGCCCCAAGGCCTCCTTGGCAGATAAGCATTAAAAACAAAAAACCCACGTTTCCCCAAATGTTTAGCCACGCTGGCGCCTTTGCTTTTCCTCCCCAGAATCGACCACTGGAACAACGAAAAGGAGCGCCTCGTTCTGATTACCGACCGCTCCCTCCTGATCTGTAAATACGACTTTATCAGCCTTCAGTGCCTGCAAGTGACCAGGATCTCACTCAATGCTGTCGATACCATTTCCACGGGCCAGTTTGAATTTCCTCCCAAGTCGCTCAACAAGTACGTTCGAACTGAGTCGGAAGGGGCCCGGGAGGCCTTCTAGTCCAACCCCCTGCTCGAGCAGGAAACCCTAGTTCATTTCAGTCAATCAGAATAGAGCTGGAAGGGACCTTGGAGGTCTTCTAGTCTAACCCCCCTCCCTCAGGCAGGAGACCCTATCCCATTTCAGACCCATATCTCTCCAATCTCTTCTTTAAAGACCTCCAGCGTTGAGAGAACTCTTCTGGAACCTTCTGGAAGCAATCCGTTCTCTGGATTGTTTGGTCTCATTCCTCCCATTCTGACAACAATCCCCCCCCTCTGCCTAACCTTTTTATCTTAACAAAATAAAAATAAAAGTTTTAACAACTTGCTACTAAGGTTTTTAGTAATTAATTAGAAATTAAACCCTTTCCCCGACAAATCACTCATGGTTGGCCTGAAACGGTCGCCCAAGCAACCAGGCACGCTTCTTTCCGTCCTCCAGGAGGGAAGGCGTCGGGATTCGAATCCAGTGGGACAAACAGAGCCGGGCTTCATTCATCAACCGGTGGAACCCGTGGTCCAGCAACGTGCCGTACGCCACCTTCACCCAACACCCCATGGCTGACGCCGACGAGAAGATTGCGTCTCTCTGTCAGGTTCAGATATTATACAATCTTGGTTTCTTTAAGAAATTTACCATGTTTCCCTGAAAATAAGACCCTGCCTTATAATTTTTTTCCCCCTACCAAAAAAAAAGGCACCAGGTCTTATTTTGGGGGGATGTCATCCACTGACAAACCTCACTTGCGCACGTCGTCCCTGGGCTCCTTTTGGCTGTCCGAGGCCTTCAGGAACTTCTTCTTCTGCGGCCGGCAAGGCTTTCCTGAAGGCCTCTGCAGCCGATAGGATCGATCCTGAGCTTGCCTTGCCGGCTGCAGAAGAAATGGGCCGGCCAGGCAGGTGTCGGGGTGTGCGAGGCCTGGCTACACCTGTCCAAAGGTAAATAGTAGAGCAGCTCCACTACCTCCCCATCCCCACCCTAGCTTAATTTTTACCTGTCCACTCTGGAGTGGGTGAGATCTTAATTAGGGCTTATTTTGGGGGTAGGGCTTATATTGGGCGCACATGTCAAAATCCAGCTAGGACATAGTTTCAGGGTAGGTCCTGTTTTCTGGCCACGCCCCACTGAGTGGCATCAAGCTGGTCATGCCTATCCTTTCAGCCACACACCCGGCCCTCTAGTCCAACCACAGCCCTGATGCGGCCCTCCATGAAATTGAGTTTCGACACCCCTGCCTTGGGGGGGGAGGGGAGTCAAAATACAAGGGGGTAGTTTCTCCCCAAATGGAGTCCCCTCCTGCTTGTGCAAAACCAGTTCCCCACCAGGTTGGGACAATCCACTGCCAGCCCACCAAGCCAGGCTTCAATCCACAAACGTTGCAGTCGGACATCTGTGGCCGGAAATCCATCGCTTCCCTCGCCAATTTCTGAGGTTCTGCGGGGATGACACCCACAACCTTTCAGCATGTCCTCCCCCCCCCTTTTTTTCTTTCTTTTCCTTCTGCAGCTGGACAACTTCCAAACCCAGCTAGTCCAGGCCGTCAAGAAAGCCCACAGGGAGTGTCCTCTCCCGGGCCGGGCCAACGGCGTCCTGCTCCTCGAGCGACCACTCCTGATCGAAACCTACGTGGGGCTCATGTCTTTCATCAACAACGAAGCCAAGCTGGGTTATTCCATGACCAGAGGGAAGATCGGATTCTGAAAAAAAAGCGGCAGTCACTGTCGCCTCCCCCCGGAAGAGTATAGGGGAGAGTAAAACAACACCAGTCAATTTTTTTATTTTTTAGTCCCGGCTCGCCGAAAATCTCACCGATCCCTCGCAACGAGAGGCAGCCATAGGGAGCCATTCACCATCATACCGGAAAATCACAATCCATTCCTTTCGGTGTGTCTCAGATGAGATCATTGTTATGTTTTCACGCATGACTTTTCCCCTTCCCGTGTCGACATGTAACCTAGGTTTCCTTCATGCGGGGTGGCTAATTCTTTCCCATGATTTCAAGGGATAATCGTTGAGAGTCGCTAATTTTTTCTCCCCGTAATTTCAATTTTGGGCGGCTCGTAAGTCTCTTTTGCGTTGCAACTCATTCTTCCCCTGTTCTGGCGAGTCAGCACACCTTACGAGTTGTCGTGGCCGGTTCTGTGTGTGTGTGCCTGGTGTTTAGAGAACTTTTCCGTAGGCAAAATAAAAAAAGTTGCGCAAAGAACCACTTCTCACGCTGTGAAATTCCACACAACAGCGCTCGTTTCCTGTGGGATTCCGTGCTACGCAGGATCACGTTTTTTTCTGCATCAAGCAGGGTTTTTTTTTTTTTTTTAAAGGGGAATTTTCGATCCGCTTGAAAGAAAAGACGGTGTTTCAGTCCAAAGCAGGGTACTAAAAAAAAAAAAAATCTACCAAAGCATGGGTGTTGAAAGGAAGAACGTGTAGTTTTAGTTTGAATTGTCCCAATTTTCTCTCTCGGTTTCAAATCCGACGCTTAACGTGGGGTGAATCCTGAGGCGGAAACTCAAAAAAGGTGGGAAAATTAAAAGTATTGCTTCATCCAGGCCCCAAAAAAATCTTCAGAAGAGAGAGAGAGAGAATATTGGAAGAAAATCTACTGCCACATGGGGAACAAATCATTTTTGAAGCATGTTTCGTTTTTTGGTGTTTGCAGTTTTAATTTCTGCATTCCTTAAACTGGTGTTTCTCAAACGGGGACTTGTTAAGACATCTGCACTTCAACTCCCAGGATTCCCCAGCCAACATGGCTGACAGGAATCCTGGGAGTTGAAGTCCAGACGTCTTAAAATGGCCCAGCTTGAAAAACACTGCCTTAAAAACTACCGAGAACTGAAATTCTGCTTTCCCATACTCTGGTCCTCTTGATACCTCTTTGTAATTCGGCGTTGTCTCTGTTCACAGTGCACAAAAAGGTGGTTGCTGGGATGACGCCAGATATATGTCCTTGTTTGTGTTACAAGTTGTGTATACTGAAGCTTAATAAAAACAAGTCCATATGAATTGCAGAAGTGTTAACCCACAACTCCTTTCGGACTGCGTTTGTTTCACAGGGGTCCATGAAGTGCTTTTATCCTCCTCGGAGACCAGGGTCGGGGTGTGTGTGTGAGTTTTGCTGGCAATTGGTGAGTGCGCTCACAAAATGGTTGCCATTTCCCGGGTTATTTGGCTTCCCGGTAAACGCTGGAGACGCTCAAGGCAAATGCTTCGCAGCGAGCTAGGTTTCTCTTTGTGCGGTGTTTTCTTTAAATAGGACTTTTAAAAAGATGAGAGGGTTATTGAGGCACCCTTTAAGCCGTGATTTATAAGCCACGATTCAAGGTTTAGTGTTCTGGGAAGTTTAATGAGCGGGGGTTAGCACTAAGAGGGTGTTAGAGCCATTTAAGATAGGGCTGGGAGACCACTTGGAAATCCTACAGCTTCAGCCAACCCCTTCCATACTAGCCAGGACAACTGTGTAGATAGATGTGTGCATGAATTCTCAAAAGGAAGATGAGGGGGAAAGGGGAAAGGCCAATAGAAGGAAAGGTCATGTTCCCTGTTTTTTCCTGTCTACCTATCTCTTTTTTCCCTTCTTTCCCTCTTTTCCTTCCTTCTTTCTTTCTTTCCATCTTCTTTTCCTTCCCTCCCTTTCACTTTTCCATCCATCCTCCCTCCCATCTCTCCTCCTTTCCTCCTCTTCCTCATCTCCCTCTTTTGCCTCCCTTTTTCTCCTTCCTTCTTCCCTTCCACACAACATCTACATGCCCACATTCAAACAAAAAGCAAACCAGAAAGTTGCTCTGCTTTATCCTCCACACAAGAACGCAAAATTGCTGCCCTTTTCATTTCGACCGCACTTTACATAGCAAACACGTTTATTGAAAACCGGAGAAAACAACAGCGCAGGTCGCGCACTATAAAATCTACATCCTTCGTAGGTTTCCTACTGCTGGTGCGCTCGCCAGACAGCTTCAACCTTTCCCGGAAAGGAAATTCAAAACCAGGTCTCTGGCCCGATTTTGAGTTTTATGTACAGATTTAAATTACGTGTGTGTGTGCCTAAAAAAACAGACAAGAGGGAGCAAATCCGAGAATTGCTTACGTTTTTCTCCTGAATTTGGAGACGTGACGTTTTAAAAACAATGGACGGTTTGTTTCGTTCACTTAGCTTCGTTTTTGGTCCAGTTGTTTTGTAGCTTCTTCTCTTTCTAAGTAACACAGGCAGAAATTGTCCTTGCTCAGAAGAATCAGGGAGTCCTCACTGGGGTGCCAGCACAACGAAGTCACCTTGAAGTCACCTGTACACACACACACAAAAAAATTTTTAAAATTAATCCTTTCTTTTTTTCTTTTGTGATAATTTCCAGCCTTTCAGGTACATCCTTTGAAACAGAGGGAAAAATACAGTAATAATAAATAATAATAAACTGTATCTGGCAGCCAGAAAAGTACTAACGAACCACAGTGGGATCTCTCCAACTTTTTCAGTTTAAATTCCAGTGCAAAATAAATGCCAGAACAACAGCAACCAGCTTTAGTACAGACCAGTTGAGCTAAGCCACGCCCAGGCTCCTTGCTCACAGCAAATACCGTTTCAGCTTCCAAACAGCCCTCAACTCTCACACACTGACAGGACGCTAGCCAGATGAATACCGATGGATGCTGGTAGGCAGACGCAGAATTTATTTCCCCCTTATTTTCCTCCCAAAAAACTTAAGCCCGACCACATAATTTCATAGCGAAGCACGGGCATCCAGCTGGTTGTTAGTATTTTTACCTTCCATCGGTATTTGCACGGAGGCGCATCCTGCGGCAGACCAGAGATACACTTTCGTGTTGCCGGTACACAGAGCGAGCCGAGGTTGTTTGGGGTCCCAGTGGAAATGCTGAATGGGGCCCAAATGCTCCAGGACTCCGTAAAGTTTCATCTTTTGGACGTCCCAGATCCAGACGGTGTTCGGGAGGTTGTCTGTTTAAAAACACACACCGAGCCTTTCAAGGAACGCGGCCTAACCCACAGCCAAACTTATTAACGGCGTTCATAACCCAACAGGATGTTGAGCTGGTGTTAAAAAAAATGCAGGGAGCCCTCAACGTATAACAGTTCGCTTAGTGACCGAAGTTACAACAGCATTGCAAACAGAAGATAAAATGTGTTGCCACGTAAGGATGAATGCAACTGTACCCGTACTGGGATCCTCCCTTAGTTGCTACCAGTTCAGCGGGTGATTGTGCAGGCAGCGAGGCAGAGGAACAAGGGGAGCCTCTTCCCAGTGCGCATGCGAGCAGAGCTGCTAGAAGGCAAGAGCAGCTGAGGTAAAAGGGACAACTCGGGAGTAAGGCTGGGAGGCGATTGCCCCGCCCCTAAGGGATAAAAGTCAGGCCTAAACGACAAAACCTTTGCAGGAAGCAAAGTCGTTCGATCGGTTCAGAGTCATCCTTGAAGCTCTTTGTACTTCGGTTGGTTTCTTTTCTAGTTCATTGGATGCTTCTGTTTTTGGCGGCACTTCACAGAACCGAAAGGTGGGTGCTTATCTCAGGGGACTGTTTTGAGATTAATTCCGGCCGGGAATGAAAACAATTCCCAGTGTGGCAATAAAATAAGACTTGTTTTTAAAATAAGCGTGTGCGTAATTACGGTTTACGAAGCCTGGATCAGAATAGTCACTGCCATCCTCAGGCTTGTGAATTGGATTCTTTTTAATCGTGTCCGGCTTGGCAGCCATTTTTTGTTTAAAACCTAAATAACATACATACATACATTGATTTTTCACCTTTTTAAAACTCTCATAGCAGACGGTGGAAAGGAAGGCTCAAATTTTTCACTCTCCTTTGTCCCAAAAGGCTCGTTTCGTCAGTTGGGACACACGAAGGGAAAGTCGGTTTACTTAGCTTGCCTCCAAGCTACTCACCATTTTTCGTGGCCAGGAAACTGTTGTCCGAACTGAAAGCTAACATCGCAACGCCGATCCTGGGATTGGCCCTGTCTGTGGGAGGTTTGACATGGTGCAAAGGAACGGGGGCTTGGACAACTTCATCTTGGAATTGAAACCAAAAAAAAACAAGGTTTACTTCCGGACCCTGCTCCTTTCAACCCCTTTTCACTAGACAAACTAGGTAACCAGTTTGTTGCAGCTGGTCCTTGACTTATGACAACTGAGCCTGTTCCCAACAACTTGCTGTGCGCAGCTTCCTCTTTTATACACTGTTCCCAGCTGCAGCTAATGAAGGGAATCAAGGCTCTTTCCTCCCTCGTAAGCCATGCAACCCACGTTGCTCCCTTCTCTATTCCTCCTGCGTGCCCTAGGATGAAGAGGGGGGTGGGCTTGGGTCTTCATCCAAACTCCCTCTCCCTTGTTCTATCTCTCCCCTTCTCTGCCCAGCTGGACTTTGCCCTTCCCCAGTTTCTTCCACAGCCAACAGAGCCACACTCGCGCTCCCTGTCAGCTGCTTGGCCTCCCCCTCCGAATCAGATTCTGACAGGGACATGACATGAACTAGCCACCAGGAGGTTGTGAGTTCTAGTCCTTCTTTTAAGCATGCAATCCAGCTGGGTGACTTTGGGCTGGGCCAGCTTCCTCCGCCTATCCCACCTCACAGGGTTGTCGTTATGGGGAAAAGACGAGGTGGAAACCTTCATTATAGATGCAAACTTTGATTTAACCAGAGCTAGATAGATGAAAACCAAATAAATAAATAGTCCTTTCCAATTTCTTTGGTCTGTTCCTTCCTGAATTTGGTGTTTTTCAAATTCAGCCACTTGGAAGATGTGTGAACTTCAACTCCCAGAATTCCCCGGAGGGATGGGGGAATTCTGGGAGTTGAAGTCCACCCATCTTAACTCCCCAAGCGCTACCTGAAACGTACATTTGGTCTTTCGGCTGAAGAGCGCGTTGGCCATTCTCTTGCTCGGGGGGAAGGTCAACTTCTCCAAGTCCACGGCTGGGGTCTTCTCAACTTCCTTGTAGACCACCTAGAAAGGAAGTCAGATTGGGCTGGGGTCATTCCCAAAAACACAACGTGAACCAACATGGATCTAACAGAATGACACAGCTGGAAAGGGGCCTTGGAGGTCTTCAAGTCCGCTTACCGTTTTGGGATCAGCAACGTTGACCGGATGGTCGAATTCAGCAATCTTCGCCCAGGTCACATGGTTTAAGATCCGTACCTAGTTAAAAGGAAAAAGGCTCAGGATTCCGGCAGTTAATTAAATCACGGTTCCCTGCTTAAATTAAATTAAAATAAATCCATGACCCTGGTTTTCCCTCCACCCCTTTGGGTGTATCATAATTCTCCAATGAAACACATTCATACCCAAGAGTCATCAATCACTGTCATGCCCCTGGTGGAGACTGACTCTGAGGGAGAGGAGGAACAGCTGGCAGGGAGTGGGAGTGTGGCTCCAGAGGTTGTGGAGGAGGCTGGGGAAGGCAGAGGCCGGCTGAGCAGTCAGAGGAGGACCTAGGACCATTCTCTCTCCATCCTAGGGCATGCAGGGAGGAGACAAGAAGGGAGAAATGTGAATGGCATGGACTACGGGGGAGGAAAGGGCCTTGATCCCCTTCATGGGCTGCAGCTGTGACAACTGGATAAGAGGATGGACCTGCATATGGGCCAGTGCTGGAAACAAAGCGTGGAAATATCTCTGGTTTATGGTTCCTCTCTGAGTTTGGCGTCCTCCCCAGTGTGTGTTCCGATATCTGTGGACGTCTTCCAGCCTTTATCTTGCCTGGTTTGTGTTGTTTTTTTACTCTTTACAATTTAAACGGCATTTCCTCCTTCTTGTAACTGTTTGTGTGGGAGTTTTTTGTCTCCAGTCAAGGATATTTGGAGCTTGGGAGCAAAGTGAAGGAATAAAAGGGGCTTCACCTGTTTTTTTGTGACTGTGTTTGTTTTGTATCCCACCCTGGGTCATCACAATCACATTCTCCCATTAGAGATTTGCGGAGGCAGAAATTCCAGTCGCTTAGTTATCATCTTTGCAAGATAGGAATGGAATGCACTTTCGGTTCCAAAC